AAAATAGGAGAAAATATGTGAAATCATTTATTAACTTCTATCTACAATATATAAAAAACCTTTACAACTCAGTAACAGACAATCCAATTAAAAATGGAAAAAGGATATGAATAGACATTTCTCTAAAAAATGTAAACAAATGGCCACAAAAAGCACATGAAAAGATGCTTGACAACATCACTAATCAAGGAAATGCAAATTAAAACCACAATGAGGTTCTGTCACAGAGTATTTTACTTTGAGTGGACAGAGGTATATTATACTGGAAATTAATGCAAAATAAGGCAGACAAGTTTCCTGTGTTTATATTCAAGGCCAGAGTGGCAAAGAGTATACAGAGAGATGAAAAACAAGCAAATAAATATATAATTAAATAAATGCATAATTCCACATAATAAGTGCTATGAAGTAAAATGAAACATGTTTAGTAAAGTGAGACATGGTTAGAGAAATCAGACAAGCAAGCAAGGCAGGGTAAGAAATTATGAAAGAACTGTCTACACAGATACTACACTAAGGTGCTTCACTTGCATTCTCTCATTTAATCCTCTTAATACCTACATGAAGTATAGTTATCACCCCCATTTTAATAACTAGAAGAGAATAAGTAACTTGCTCAAAAACCCAGGTCTCTTGACTCCGACCAGCATGACATAATACCATTGAGTGTAGAAAATGAAGCTATTTTTTTTAAAGTTCTAATTGTTACAGATTTTAAGGAGAAATTTGAATTTTGGGCTTCCAAGTAAGGACCCCCTTAGTCTTTGCATGTAAGACAAATGAAGCCAAGAATTATTTGAATGTATAGAGAAAGAGAAAGAAAGCAAGTGGCAGGAGCTTTATTCTTTAAAATAATGTCACTTGCTCTATTCAGCCTTTCTTACTTCCAAAAAGCTGAAGAACTACTCTTTATCAAGAGAATTACAGTTTTAATTCTTCCAGGAGTCTTTAGAAGGTATTCCACTGTCCTCAAGCTTTTCACTGTTGTAAATGGAAAATTCTTTGCCTACTTTTTTTCTCCTTTGTAGACAACTTATTTTTTATGACTGGAAAAGTTCATATATCTTCCTCACTGTGCCTTTTCATCAATACGGCATGGAACTCCATAAGTCTTTTCAAGCTCAAGACCTGGTTTTTTCTCTGCTTATTATTTGTTTAAATATTATTGATCTCTTCCATCAGTTTTTTTTTTTCTTTTTCACCTTCTGGAACTCCTATCTACATTAAGTTTTAAACTAATGCTGACTTCCTGGATTTACTTATCTTTTGCTTCATGATTTCCGTATACTAATATTTTGCTCTATACTGGGAGATATTTCTCACATATGGGTCTAGATGTTGGGATATTCCAAACAGTGAGAATCCCACAGGTGTTATAAGACTGTATACCTCTATTATCTTTGGGACTATTTGCTGTGGAAGTCAGAATGCTGTCCCCTCCCTTCTGAGGAACCGAGAAGTCTCCAAAGAGAATCGCAGAGTATGAAGAGAGATGGGAGTGTGGGATACAGGTAGTGTGAAGGCAGTGGGACTTAAATAAAGATTCAAGAGATTTCTTCATTATTCTAGAGGCCCCATACTAGAACTTCCACTTAGCTAGTGTTTCAAGATGTGTATTAGTTACAGTCATTTGGAAATAACAGAAACCAATTGTGTCTACCTTAAACAGAACTGAAAGGAAAGTGGAGGACCAATCTTAGAAAACAAATTAAAAGCTATAGTACAAGTAGAAGGGCGTACAATTGTCTTTTCGTAGGAACATTACAGCTGGGCTACTGCCAACACTGCAGCAAAAAACTGCTGCTATGAATGATTCCTTAATATCTCTAAGACTTTGTACTCAAAATTCTACTTTACAGAAAGGGCATCTGATTGACCAAACCAAGGCCATCCCTGACTGCCAAAGGGTAGAAAGAAAGGTCTGACTCCATGAGCTTCTATATTCCTCCCCATAATGACAACCCAGTTTTAAATCTCCAAAATCAGAAAAGGAGTTGGGTAGTAGTCAATCAAATTTAAAATGGAAAAAAAATTTAAAACATCCATTATGACTCCAAGATCTTATATCAGTTGATTTTGTGAAAGATCTATATACAATTTGCTTTTAAAATGGAATTTCAAAGCACTAACACTTGGGTAGTCTCAAAAAATCATATAATATATATTCAGAAAAGAAGAAATCATTTAATTTTTTTGAGACTATATCTGAGAGTAGGGAGAAATGAATATGATCTAAAGGCAGAAACTGTTGATTTCTAAAGAAAATTAGACTTGTTAAATACGTATAAAAATTATATCATCAACATTACTATAATGAACTCTATGACCTTTGTTTTAAGTAGCTGGTTTAATTATACAGGCATTTAAAGTTTTTTAAAAATAATCTCAGACTGTATTTTATTCTTTTCAGTGGTAGCTAAATAGCATCTATGAAACACATGGGTTGTTGGACTTTTAAACTGGCATTAAAAAAAAATGTTAATAAAGGGCAAATGGGAGAAATCAGGAAGTCTATATCACATACTCATAATTCAGGTTGAGATTTCAGCAATAATAATAGTAATTAAGAATAGCAACTAATATTTATTTAATGTTCACCATACAGGTACTCTAAGTACTTTACATGTATTATCATCATGCTGATCCTCTCAAGAACCCTGTTAAGTATGAGAGGTATTCTCATTTAACATATAATGAAACACAGAGGTTAAGGAAGTACCCCCTGATCTCACATAATACAGGTAACCAGTGGGGCCAGGATATAAGCCTAGAGCATGAGCTTTACAGCAATCCATTCTGCTGCCCCCCTTAAGACAGTGGTAACATGGCTTCGCTCTATTTTTAAAAATATCAAATGTATTCACTATTCTACATCACTTATAGATATGACTAACCTGAAAATAAGCCAGCATTTCATCATCTACGCAAAAATATTTTAAAAATTAAGTTTGTACACTAATCTCTCAAAATCAGTCAGATTCAAGCAAAAAGGGAAAAAAAACAAGGCTTCCAATTCTTTCACCCAGTTGTCTCAAAGTAGAAATCTGCCTAATAGAAACATTTCAGAGCCTCTTAACTACACTCAAATTCAGAAAGTATGCTATATAAGCTAAGCTATCAGAGGTCTCAGTGTACTTGAGGATACACCTCCTAACAGGTTCCTGAAAGCTAATTAAGTGTACAGAAGAGTCTACAACCAATCTTGTTTCCCACAATAACTGTGTTACATACTTTAATAGCAGCTGTATCTTCAATTATATTTTGATTACAGATTCAAAGGTGCCCTTCTCCTTCCTTCAACTTTTATAAGGCACAAGAACTTAAAAAGAAGAAAGCAATATGTGCTGCGAAAGCCCACTGAGGATTGCAAGACTAGGGGACTGTGGGAATCTATACTTTAAAAATTCAAGTCCTACACCTAGTCCTTTATTTCAACAGAACTGGGATATAATGAACATTTTTTATTATGTACTTGTGGGAGGGCGATTAGGAGAAAAAAGGAGAGGAATATTAATTTCAATAAGATATTAAAAGCACTGATAAAATAAAAATTTCAGAGAGGTACAGATAGGAAAATAGAACCCTGAAGCCTAGAAAGAAGAATATTGCAAGAAAGTGAAAAGTGTATAAAAGTCTATGACTAATGACAGGAAACTCCAAGGGATATGACAAGGTGAAATAAGAAAAGACGAAGGTAGGGAAGCTGAAAATCTAGAGGATTAGGCAGAAATAGAAATCAAGTTCCATAACAGCTTATCACAAGTTACTTAAGAGTTTTAGTGATTAGAGAATATGTTGTAAGTTCAAGCTTTTCAAGGTAGTTTTATGTAGTGACAGACCAAGATGTGTCTATTTTAGGCAATGGGAGAATCAACTGAAAATCAAAGATGATGTCAAAAATCAGAACAGACAGGGTATCCAAAGGGTCACATCAATGGATAACGAAGTGGCAAAGGATAATGACAGAGAATGTGATAAAGAAGTTATACATTAAGCATTGTAATAATTTGAAGAAAACTGAAAAACATCTTAGAGGCTGTAATAGATGGCTATTAAGAAGGAAAAAATCTTAACGGCACCATCACTGTATCTTTAAAAATGACATATATATTTGAGTTTTATCACAAGGATACTGATTCGACTGAAATGGATATCACTCAGGAAGACAACAATTATATAAACCAATCTGCCATGGGCTAACCAAACATCCACCATCCTATGTATGAAGAACCAGATGATACGCTCAAGAGAAACTATGCTTGTCCCCTAGAAGCTTGTTTTAGATTTCGAAATGAAAAATTTAATACAATAAAGCAAAATCTAAAATACATATCTTAGTTATATATATATATATGAGAAAAATGCCGATTAACTATAATTTCATATAATCTTAATACCGAAATGGTTAAAAAGTTCAATTTTGTTTGAAATTACTTTTCCTCTAGACAATGGAACATGTTGAAAAAATATTAAGCTTTGAACTACTGTGTTTGAATCACTCACATTAGTACTAGCTTTCTAGTACTAATAAAATAGCTGGTGTTCAATTTTAGAAACATAAAGAAAAAGGCTTTGCCTTAGTACTAGGTGACTTTCCTTGAATCAACCTAAAGCATCCAAATATGTCATCCAATTTAGTAAAAATTTGTACTTTATAATGACTCTGACTGAAGCTAGGATAGAAATTTGCAGTCTTTTAATGAGACTGCAAATTAACTGAATTTGATAACAGTAATCCATCAAAATTTATTTCCACACCAGTTAGTATTTGACTTGCATTTGGAAAGTCAATGTTGTGAATCTTGTTCTTAACCAACTTTCGATTATCATCTCTCTCCTTTCCTTTTGATGGAAAAGAATTGCTTCTAAGAATAAGAAGTAAGAAAGCCCTCCTTACTTATTCTAAGGGAACACTATTTCCACCACAATAAAAAAGAGGAGAGAATATTAAACCTTAATTTAAAATTTTATTCCTGTCAGGTTGATCTTACAATACTTACCAATACATACATCGATTTTCCCTTTAATAGCAGCTTCGTGGAGAGGCGTATAGTTCCAGTTATCCCTGGCATTTGGATCGGCTCCTTGGCACAGTAACAGACTCACAACCTCAGCATGGCCAAAAGAACAGGCATTATGAAGCGGGATGAGACCTCCATCATCACGAGCATGGACATTAGCACCCATTTGTAGCAAGTGTTCTACGACATCTTTCCTTCCAAAACCTAAAAATTAAGAGGGGAAATATCTTATACACTAAATCAATTTTGTAAAAAGAACCATTAGAATTTTTTTAACAATATCAACAAATATGAACCGAAGTACTATGTTCTACAGCCAAAAGGGTAAAAAAACAGAGCTGACATTCAAATGAATTCTCTCATATCACAGAATTTAGAACTAAGAAAGCTCTTTCTTTAGTCTTTGGGCAGTTCATTTCAAAAAATGTTTCTTCAACACATTTATGTGCCAGGAAACTGTGCTAGACATACAAAATGAATAAGACTCCTGTCCAAGGCATTCACTTTTCCCTATGCTTCACAAGACAAAAATCAAATGTATAAAATCCACCTCTATATTTTAAGAGATAAAGGTTATTTAAATACTGCTGACTACCAAATTGAAGACAAATCATAACATTCAACATTCCAGAAGGAAAACTGGAGAAAAATGTATGGATATCAGAAATATGGGATAGCTTGGTTACAAGTTATTTGAAAAGGAAGAACTAAAGATAATACTGAACTGAAATATCTACTCTTGGGACTGGTGGCAAACTAAATGAAATGCATGATTAAGTGAAACAATTCATGTTTGGATTTACTGAGTTTGCAGAAACAATATGATAAACAAGTGGGAATACGTGCATTTGAAAATACAGAAACAGAACATTGGTAAGAAGTATCACAATTTTCAGACAGAAAGAAAGGGGAAAAACAAGCCAAAAAGGGTCTGGAGCAACATAAGGACTAAGCAAACACTGAGAAAGGTAAAAAATACCAAGAAAGTACAACATAATGGGAGTCAAAGGGTAATACCATTATGCAACATCCAGCATGATGAAGATTTTAGTGAGATCAACGAGAAGGGAAAAAATAGCCACTGACAATATTGAAGTACTTGTAGTGCAGTGATGAAATTACAAGCTACACTGCAATGTGTTGTTAAAAAAAAAACAAAAAACTTCAAATATTAGTATTTTTACCTTTCCCAGCTAATAACTTTATTGATAATTCTTTTATTCCTACTTTAGATTTTGTTAGGTCTTACTGGCTAGGTATCACTACCTCCACGTTATCACATACCGTGTAATGTTAGAAAATAACATCCCAAATAAAACTAAAAAGTAGTAAAAGAGTCATATTTTCCTCCACTTCACGCACAAACTAAATAAATAAATGAGAACTGTGGGGGAAAAAATTATTTCGATATATGTTTTTCACACTATCTATAGAAAAATGTCTCCAAAGTAAGATATAGTCCCACAGATATATATATCAAAGTAAGAATTAAGCTGAAATTTTGGGGTAAAAATAGGTCAATTCTGTACTAGAACTGGAACATCGAAAGTATAGCGTATGTGGTAATATGGCTATCAATACCTTGCTGTTTGTTTTTTTCTTTTTAATGTCTGCAGAACTGTATAGATGTTACATTCTGTTTAATTCTCTAACACCAATGTCCTTCTTCCTCTACGATCACAATTCTATTCTTCCACTGGGCCACAGGCACCTTCTTTATCCATAAAGATTTTATGATTTTCCCTCTTTATAGTCTGAGTAAAGCCCAAGTGCAAATTCACATTTCTCTAAACAATACATTAACATATTTAAGAATTAATTTCCTTTCTTCCCTAATAAATACAGTTAAGCTAAGATACTTCATAAATTATTAATTAGCATTTTAAAAAACATCCTTTATAACTTTAAGCAAAAGAGCAAAGTGTGTTTACTCTTTACTAAAATTTTTGATCTAAAATATAAAATAAAACAAAAATGCTCAGTATTATCAAGAATGTGGTGAAATGAAATAGAGAGGACAATCTGGTGATTGGAGGGGAGTTGGAGAGCTGGGAGAAAGGGGTGAAGGGTTAAAGAAGTACAAATTAGTAGTTGATAGACGGTCATAGGAATGGGGAGCACAGCATAGGGAATGCAGTTACAGTTTTTAAAAGGAATAATTTTGTTGCTTATACACATACTTATGGCTCAGTTTTATAAAATACAAAAGAGAAATCAATGAACAATCTTTCTCTGATCCAGCAAAGGTCACTAAAAATTAAGACAATATAGTGTTCTAATTTTTACCAACATAAAGTATGTGCTATAACAGACTTCCAATCTGAGAGGTATACAAGAGTATAATTTAACTTTTACAGAAAAATTCTTTTTGCTCAATGTACATGCCCTACCCTTGACAACAATAAAAATAACAATAATAATGGTAATCCCAAATGACTGACGTGCATTAGCTCCTTGTTGTTAACACCCTGTGAGAGATACCACTATCCTCATTTTACTGTTGAGGAATACTTTCGCTCAGTTCTGATAGTCATGAACTGTAATTCCAAATATATATCTCAACTCTGTCTACTCGCCAGTGCTACCACCTTGGTTTCAAGTACCATAATCTCTTGGTTGGACTTCAGCATATAACCTTCTAGCTGGTCTCTCTCTGCTATCACATCTGCTATCCTACAATTCATCCTTAAAGAGTAGGCAGAATGATCTTTTCACGGCATATATCAGATTAAGTTGCTTCCCTGCTTAAAATCTTGCAATGGGTTCCCATAATACATATAAAATTTTACTACAAACTCCTTATGACCTACAATGCTTTGAGTGAACTGGCCCCTCTTACCTCTCAAATCTCTCACCCTGCCTCTCTGTTCCCTGAATAGAACAAACTAAGGGACTTTGCACTTGCTATGTGCTCTGCCTAAAGGCCTAGGACCCAGATCTTCACACGGCTAGTTCCTTCTGTCATCCAATTCTCAGCCCAAAGATAAGCAACTGACACTCTGTCCACTCAATTTAAAGTCACCCACACTCACACACATACTCTTCCACCATTGTTTTCAATATCAATCAGTTTTACTATCTTCCTGTATTTAATCACTCCCTGAATGGACTTTATTTATTTGTTTACTTGCCTTTTATGTCTCTCCTACTCAAGATGTTCCATGAAAAGAGGTCCCTGTTTTATGAGATGTCTATATCTCCAGTACCTAGAATAGTGCCTCATTATACAGTAAGGCCTCAAATAATAATTTATTGACTATATATATAATGTTTACTTACTTCATAGTAATTAGGCCAAAATAGTAAGCAAGCAGTTTTTATTTTATATTTTTAATTTATAAAAAGAAAACAGATTTAAAGGTTTTTCCAACTGTGGTAATATCAGAAATATTTAAAATATATAAACACCAAGTTTTCGTAAAGGAAAATCATCTGTAATGTCAACTCCACAGATAATTACCATGAACATTTTGATGATTATGATTACATATTTCTTTCTTTGCAAGTGTGTGAGTGTGTGTGTGTGTGTGTGTGTGTGTGTGTGTATTTAAACATGTCTTTTTCTTGCCATTTCACTTTTCAAATATCACAGATTTTTCTTCAGGTAAAAATTAAAAATTTATATAACGTTTTCGTATGGATACTTAACATTGCATTACATGGATATGTCATAATTTATTTAGTTGGGTGGTTTCATCATTATACAAAGGAGATTTCTGCCATTATAAAAAAAGAAAGTTAAAATAAATTTCCTTGTACATCTATCTTTGTATATTTGTCCAGTTCTTTATTTAAGATAAATTCCTCAAAGTAGAAGTATTAGGTCAAAGGCCATACATTTAAAATTTCTATGTAGCCAAACTGACCTCTAATTCATTCTATCAATTTTCATTTTCAACCAAAATGCTTGAGAACACTCATTTCTCCATCCTTTATAAATTAATGATTTATAAACTTTATAAGCAGAGAGACAAAAAATAAGAATGTTATTTACATTTTGGTTCAGATATTTGCATTTTCTTTTGAAAATGAAATAATAAATACAAATGAAATCTCTCTTAATCTTAGTCATCTACCTTCTTCCCCAGAGAGACCATTACATCAAGCCAAGGTTTGTTACACCCATGCACATTTTTATACTTTTCATATGTTTTTAAACACGAGTTTACATATTTATATGTTGTTTAATTATACTTATATCCTTCCATGTACTTCACATTAATATATTTTACATTCCATATTTTGCATTCCATGTTATTAGAAAATATTATATATATATTCACATTATATCATTTGGTTTAGCCTATATTAGTAAGAGGCTAATAATTGTGGCCAACATCCCCTTTTCTTGCTGGCAAACAAACTCAATTTTACTCAGGAATTGGACAGAAAGTAATATGCTCAGGTAACCTTCTCTTAGGGAATCCTTTCCCCAGTACAGGGAGTAAATCCTCATTACTATAACCTAGAAAGGTGATTCATTCCTCTCTGCCAATGACTGCAATGAGACAAAAGGAAAAGTCTAGAGTCTAGAAGCTTCTGGATTTTTCTCACCACTAAAAGAAAGTATGCAAAGATGGGCTCTTTCTCCTCTCTCTTTACTCATCTACTTTCAGAAAATTCTCATATAAAGTTACAACATTTGAGCCACTGATACCATGATGGGAAGGTCAAGAGAATTATTATAATACTGGCACAGAACCCTACTGTGCTCACAGAATACTGAACTCTTGAACTTCCGACTTCTAGACTTGTCAAGCAGGCAATAACTGTCCTTAGGCTTCAAGCTTCTGTTAGCTGAGTTTTAGAATACTTATAGCTGAACCCATGCAAATTGATGTAAACATCTACTCATATGTTTACTGACCATTCAAATTTCATCTGTTGGCTATCGGTTCACTGTCTTGACCCAATTTTCTGTTTGTCTTTTGCTTATTTTGTAGTTCTTCATATATTCTGAACATCAAAATCTTGTGTTGGTTATATGCGTTATAAATATATTCTCTGTTTATGGCTTGTCTTTGAACTCTGTTCATAGTGTGTTTGATTTCATACAAGTTTTAAACTTTAACAGAATAATATGTATCAATCTTTACCTATATGGTTTGTACTTCCTACATGATCTTTAAAATATCTGTCTTATTCCTACATTGTACCTATATTTCCTTCTAGGTTAACTTTATAATTTTGCTTTTACATTTATA